CTGAACTCAGATTGGAATCAGTTGCCGCCTTCTAAGAATGAGAAGTTTTCACACAAAATTTGAACATCCAGCATTTCCTGGAAAATCAGAAGTTCTGCAAATTGCCTGCGCTCACGCGGGTGGGAGGTGAGGAGCGCTGCTCCAGAGGAGCGCATGCGCGCCAGTGCCCCCGCGCCTCAGCTCCCCGGCCCTCTCCGGGGCCTCTGCTGGCTGCACTGCGGGTCTCTGTTCATGCTTCATCTCCCCATTCTCTCAGGCTTCGCAGTGTCTCCTGTGGTTTGGTTTCCCTTGTTACTTCTTCCCTTTGTTCCTGTTTTCTTTCCCTTTTCTTTCTTTTTTTGGCTCCAGCTTTTCTTCGTCCCCGCATTCAAGCCTCTCTTGTCCCTTTTCCGCATCTCGCATGGTACCTGCCATCACCCATGAGGAGTGCAGACTCTTAGGCCCTCTCTTCAACTTTGTTTCTCATGGCGTCTGATTTTGAAGCCCTGCCCCAGGTCCCTTTGTCACATCTGAAGTCGTTTGCAAACTGCAACACCACCATCACAAAACTCAGGTTGTCACATTTTGGGGATTTGGGTTTATCACTTTCTTGCTCAGTCAAACCTCAATTCCTCATGTATGAAGTCAGGGGCATGAGGGCCACAGACTCTTGCTCTCTCAGGACCTCTCAGGCCCTGACATTCAGTGATTTGAGGACCACTGAGCTTGGTACCTCACCTGCAGTTTTCAGAGGCATGCTTGAGTCTCAACTAGAGTAGTCCCAGTACATTCTAGAAACCACATCTGTAGAAATCCTGTATCATGTCACGTCTTTAATAGCCATATGCCGCATAGCAGGCCAAATAAGAAATAGTGGTTATGAGCATTCTGGAGTCAGACCAGTCTAAGTTGAAATCCAGTTTTACCACTTCACTAGCAAGTCGCTTAATCTTTGTGCGCCTCAGTTTCCTCATCTGCAAAAAATAAGGTCAAAAATAACGCCTGCCTCGTGTGGCTTTTAAGAGGGTCCAATGGGTGCATATTTGTAGAACTCTTCCAATGGTGCCTCACAGATAGTAAGTACTATACAAGTGTTTGATTACTAAAAATAGCAGTCCACGTCGGTCCCAGGAGCCAGCTGAAAACACGCAGAGGAATTTGTGGCTGGGAGTGGGAATTCCTCCTCCTTAACTCAGTAGTTATGGTGACCATATTTTCTAAGTCAAAAAATCAGGACACTTCATCTGCAAAATATGTGAGTTGCAATTCTGACTTCAAACCATAGAAGAATTATCAAAATTGGGTGTGATGAAAATGTTTTGCAAGGACACTGCAACAAAATATTTGGAGTTGAAGCTGTTCTTAGATACATGATTTCTCTGTCTATTGGTATTAGGTACCCTCCTATCTTCAAAAGATCATTCAATATTCTTCAAAACAATTTTAAAAAAATGCTGGCTAGCATGGAATATCTGTTTAGGCAATCACTAATTCATTTTTTTCTTTCCCTCTATTTGTTTGTAAATGATGCAAGCTCACACCACACTCGGTGGTCACAGAAGCAGGATCACATACAACCAAGGTGTTGATGTGGCCTGACTCACTGCAAGAAAAAGAGGGAAAGCCCTGTTGAAAGCCAACTTCCTTTCGGCCATTGTGTAAAGACTCTCAGTCTTATTCAAACCTCAAAACAATCGTTTGTGGTGGGCGTTATGATTTACATTTTACAGCTGAGGGAGCCTTGTGTGGGAAGCTTTTGAGAGTTCCCCTGGGCCCATCTGCCTGAGAATCTGGGCACTTACCCTTCCGCCCCCTAGCATGGGAAGTTGGCATCCTCTCTGACCACTCCGATAGCAGCGAAGCAACCAGCTCACTGCTGACTCCTTTCCTTGCTGCTGTTTGTGTGCAAATTCATTCATTCACTCATTCACTCATTCATTCATTCACGGTTTGTGACCTTTGAGAAACAACTCACTCCCCTTTCTGCTGTTCCTCTTTTTCATTGGCGATTATCCTATCAGCAGCTTACTTCATTCAGGGTTAGTCTTGGAAGTGCAATGGAAAAGACTTCACTGTGAGAAGGGAATGCTAGACAGTAGCCACTACAAATGTGATGATCCCCAAGTCTGGATCCTCTCCTGTGAGCCCCGGACCTGTGTACCCAGCAGCCTACTGGACATCTCCACTTGGCAGTCTTACAGACCCCACACAGTGTCCCAAACTGAAAGTATGATCTTCCAGCCCCAGCCTGGCTCTCCTCCACGTCCCCTGTCTTAGGGAACGACAGTGGGGCTCACTGCTCCTCATTCTTCACAAGCTGTCTCTAACCCCTCATCTGCTCCCCGAGTGGGTGCTCTATAGTGATACCCTGTGGTTCTACTTGGTGGCCCTGAGCGCGGTTGCAGTGGGGTGTTGGTCCAATTATTTGTTTTAATTAATTAATTTGATAGCGCGCATAAACAGGGGGAGCAGGCAGAGGCAGAGGGAGAAGCAGGCTCCCGGCTGAGCAAGGAGCCCAATGTGGGGCTCGATCCCAGGACCCTGGGAATCACGACCTGAGCTGAGGGCGGATGTTTAACCGACTGAGCCACTCAGGCGCCCCTGGTCCAATTATTTGGACCAAGTCTGACTTCCCTAACAAAAAGTAAGCTCTGAGAGGGCAGGGACTGTGTCTTGTTCTGGGGTGGGGGGAGTCCCCACATCGTAGAGCTGCCCAGTGAGTATTTCCAGAGTGAGTACCAGGACCAGGCTGCTCTGAAGGGAGCAGGGGGCTGCACAGAGTCAGGAAATCTTGTGTTCTGGTCCCTCTGCCGCCGTAAGCCTGCCGAGGGACTCTGTGTGACGCGGTGAGCACCACTACTGCAGTGTGTGTGACAGGCATTGAAGAGGGTGCGTGAATACACTGCTGGCACCGAGGAGGCATCCAGTGACCTTGCCCTTCAGTTTTCTTGGTGCCCTGTCACTTCACCTATGAAATGGGGGGTTGTTCGACTAAATGGTTTTGACAGTTTCTTCCAGCTCAAAACTGAATTTTTTGGAACTGGTCTCTCCCTTCCCCTCCCGTGCTTCTTACCAGCACTAGCTCCATTCCCGACTTCTTTCGTCCTCCTGTTCTCAAGCCCAGGAAACATCACCTCTCCCTGGGAAGATGGCAGCCATCCATCTTTATGCAGCCAAGGTTCACCTCCTACTACTTCTCTTCCCCCACCACCCTACGGACTGCCGTTCATGCATGCATTCACTCCTTCATTCACTCACAAGACATTTCGAGCCTCCGCTAGTGGCTGTGGATAGACCCTCACTCCTCAAATCCTGCCCCCTCTCATCCACCTTCCCACGTGCTCTGGTCAGGTGTGAGAGAAGAGAGGGCGTGATCAGCACCGCAACGAGGGCTGCTGGTGTATTCCTGTGGGCAGTCCCCCTTAATTAAGGGAGATGGGTTCTAGAAATCCTCGCAATAGACAAATGGGACGTATTTACTTCTTATTTGAAATTACTGAACACGGTTGCCTACAATTGGTCTATTTAATAGTTTTGATTTTCCCCCATGCTCTTTCAATTACCCTGATTGCTGCTAGGCATAAACTTCCATCAAGTTTTAATTTATCTTTAATGTCTTTCCCTTAACAGCTGCTCTTCTCTCTTAACAAGAAAGTCAAGTCTGGAACCAGATGCATTTAAACCCATTTTGGGGTATCGAGACTATCCCAGTCTAGGGGTGGTAGTAAATATTTAACAACCGGATTGGTGCAGAGTAGGCAGGAGTCTCTCTCTGAAGCATTAGTTCCTTTGCTGTAAATACTCCCACCACATGGGTTTCAGGTGATCAGCCAGGCTTGGCTGAATGGGGTCCAGGTGAGATGCTAACGGTTGACTCACGAGGGGGGACGATTGGAGCCAGCTCTCCCACGCTCCCCATGCCACTGAACCTAGTCCTGTGCCCTTAGTCTGCGTCTCACCCCACCTGGCTTGCTTCCCAGTCATTGTTTCTGATCTCAGCTAATAGCCTCTGTCAGTCAGCCAAGAAGGATGCCTGACCGACACCGTTAACTACCCCCTCTCCCTCACCCGCCACCTCCAGTCACTAACCCCCGGTGCTTTCTCTCCCAAGCTGCTCTCCAAGTCTGCCCTTTTGTCTGTCCCCTCCACCCACACCCTGCTCTGGTCTGCGCAGTCTCCCACCCTCTCGTTGCTGGTTTCCCTGCCTGCATGCCTGGCCCCAGCCACCGCTGTCCACGCTTAAATGACGTCATGCCGGTCTTGTGTTGAAAGCCGTCCTGTGGCTTTGCCTTGCCATTAGGATCCATCCCAAACCCTTAGCATGTCTTACCTGACACCCCCAAGTACCCTCACATACACTGTGATCTGGCCCCACCTGCCCCTCCAGCCTCACCCCCCACCTGTGACCTGCTTGCTCGCTTCCTCTAGCCATGGGGAGCTGCTTTTATTATTTCCTCAAACACACCCAGCTCCTTCTCGACTCAGGGCTTCCTTTATTTTATTTATTTTTTTGTGGGGGGGGAGGCTCTGCTTCCTCTATCAGTACAATTACCTCTCCTCCCCCACTCCCCCAGCCCTTGGGTGATGCCTCCTGTGGTGCGTCAGCGTGACTTCCTGGGGAAGGCCCTCAAGGAGGTGGCTCCCTGGGCCTGCTTTGTCTTCCCTACACAGTGGGGCTTCTTGACGGCCTGGAGGGACACCTGTCTGGTTGGCTGTCATGTTGGCAGCCATGCCCACAGCCCCTAGCAGGGACTTGGTGCTCCATCGGAGTTGAATCCGCCTCTTGCATTTATGTGGGCCCCAGTGCCCCCATTAGAGAGTAAACTCCGCACGGTCAAACATGTCCTGCTTGCTGTGTTTGCCGTCAGCGGTTTATCGGCTTAGTGAGAAAAGTTAGTCAATGAATCATTTTTACTGCGAAATTTCACTTTTCTCCCCCCCAAAGAGCATCTTGGAGGATGGTTTTCTATTTTCAATAAAGTCGTGTTGGTTTTCCTAACCAATTTCTTTTTCCCTCCTAGACTCCATCAGCTGTGATCCCCAGAGGATGTTTGGAATTGCGAACAAGAGCGTAACTTTCTATGTAGCAAGGTCCGTACACATTACAGAGATCATGTGGACAAAAAGTAAGGATAAAGTCATCGAATGGGAAGCAGGCTCCCCCGTCCACGTTTTCCCACCTTTTGTAGATAGAGTTCATTTAGACACCACGTCAGGAAGCCTTACCATCTTCAATCTGACATCATCGGATGAAGCTGAGTATAGAATTGAATCTCCGAGCTTTGGTGACATCTTGTTTACTCTGAATGTGATTGGTGAGTATCCCATAAATGGGTTTGTTTAAAATGGCAACTTTCCAACTATTTTAAGAGATGAACACAAATGAACGGTTTCTGAGAAATAAGAGAATTCGATCTCTTAGGCTGTCAGGCACATAGGAGGAGCAAGTGTCCATCCCCTCGTCATCCTCTGAGTGAGGAGAGGATGTGACCGAGGTGGAGGGAGCGACCCCAGCCGGGCTGAGCTGCTGCCAGTGGCATCTCTTGTCTTGCTAGGAATATTCTGGAAAGGGATATAGGGGCAGCAGTGAACTCAAAACTCTTTGAGCTCCACTGAGAGATGATGCTCTAGAAATTAGAGTGCCTGCTTGCACCTGCGCTGCACCCCAGCAGGTGGATTTTTTTCTCCCCTGTATCACTTTACACAGAAACTGGAGATAGAGTCCAGGTTCCTCCACACTCCCCATCGATACTTCCAGGTCATTCTCCTTGTCATCTATAGGCCTGTGGATATATCCCAACGTTTCTGGATCACTGGAATGCCTGGCTCACTTTTGCTGTTTCTGATGTTCCTGCTGTTATAATTCTTAGTGATTATAATATTTAAATATATAATTCTAATATCCTGGCTTCTGAGTCCCTGATCTCACCTGTGATGGTCTTGTCTTCCATCCACCTCCCCCACCTTTCCCCATGGATAGAACCTAGAAGTTGTCATTACCATTCATTCTATTTATTTTTTTTTAATTTTATTTTATTATGTTATGTTAATCACCGTACATTACATCACTAGTTTTTGATGTAGTGTTCCATGATTCATTGTTTGTGCATAACACCCAGTGCTCCACGCAGAACGTGCCCTCTTTAACACCCATCACCAGGTAACCCATCCCCCCACCCCTCCCCTCTAGAACCCTCAGTTTGTTTCTCAGAGTCCATCGTCTCTCATGGTTCGTCTCCCCATCCGATTTCCCCCCCTTCATTTTTCCCTTCCTACTAGCTTCTTCTGTTTTTTTTTAAACATATAATGTATTATTTGTTTCAGAGGTACAGATCTATTACCACTCATTCTAAGCCCTCCGCTATGTCATGCCAGATGTCCCCTGCTCTGCCAAATCTGCCACCCCTTCACCTTGCATGGCCCCCTGTCCTCCTTAGGCAGCCCCGAATATGCTCACTCACGGCTCACATATTGGAAGACTTGCTTAGTTTCCTTGCTCCTTTTAATTTTTTTAATTTAATTTTTTAAATTACTTTGTAACGATTTTATTTATTTATGTGAGAGAAAGAGCGAGAGAGAGAGAGAGCACAAGCAGGGGCAGAGGGAGAGGGAGAAGCAGGCTCCCTGGAGCTTGACATAAGGCTCGATCCCAGGACCCCAGGATCATGACCTGAGCCACCCAGGTGCCCCATCCTTGCTCCTTTTTAAATGGGCCATACTCCTCTGGCCTGTGCAACCAGGTCCAGTCCATTGTGCTGCCTGTTCTGCGCTCACACACTGTGGCTGCCGAGAAACTCATCACCCCACAGAGCCCCACACGTGAAGCTTCTGGTCGCTTGCCTCAGTCAAGTCCAACATGTCCCCCAGTGTCCTAGCAATTATCCTTCCTCTCCTCAAGCCTTGAAGACCCTCTTCTCCAAAGCTACTCCTCAGCTGAAAGCTTCGCTTCTTGTTTCACTGAGGAAGAGAAGCAATCGGAGGAGAATTTCCACAGGTTGTCACCCTTAGCCTTTCTGCCTACCTGCCCTTGAGCATGGGTACCCTGCTCACAGAGGACCAAGCCCTCCGCTGTGCCCCGAGCCCTGCCTCCCTGCCACTGCCCTTGGGGACATCGCTCTAGTCGGTGCCCTTGCTCTATTCCAGCAGCGGTGTCCTCCGTGGGCTGCCAGCCCGACCCTACCAGCACGCAGTATGCTGTCAGACATTCATGCCAGCCCCAGGAGCCCTCTGATGCCCCCTCCACCCCTCCAGCTACCACTTGCCATCTTGAGTTTGTAGAAAATCTCCCTGAAGGGTTGTCCATGTTTGCTTTCTAACTCCTTTTCTCCTGTTTTTTAACCCACCCCAAACAGGCTTTCATCCCATCACTGTACCAGAACTCTTGATCTCTTCATTAATGAAGGCAGTGATCCATTCATGCTCTCTCCACCACATCTTTCTTGGCCACTCAGCAGCATCTGACATAGCTGATCACTCTCTCCTCTGAAACACAACCTTCTCTTGGCATCCAGGACACCACCCTATTCCGGTTTTCTTTTAGCTCACTGACTCTTCCTTCTCAGCTTCCTTGGCTGGTTCCCTCATCTTGCCAACCTGCAAGCATTGGAGACTTGAAGGCTTGAGCCACCCTTCTCTGTCTACATTCACACCCAGCTGGGTGAGCTCGTTCTGGGTTCGGGTTTTAAATATTGTTTTGATGCTGATAATGCACAGATTGAGAGCTCTCACCTGGAGCCCCACTGAGCTCCTTATGTGTGTTTCTGACCGCTTCCTCTGTATGTCACTCGGATATCTATCTGATGGGCCTCTCAAATCACAGGTTCCAAAGTGAGCTCATCAACTTTCCCTTAAATCCCGTTCCTCCCCAGATCTTTCCCCTAGCTTGGTTAATGGCAGGGCCTTCTTTTTGGTTGCTCAGGCTAAAACCTTGATGTCATCCTGACACCATGTTTCTCTTCCTCTTTCTGTCGAACACTGTGTTTATCCCACCAGGAAATTTTACTGGTTTTACAGCATCTGACCACTTCTCACCACTTCCTCTGGGGCTGATCCAAGGCTCTTTTATCCTCATCTGGAGAACTGCAGCAGCCGCCTAGTTGGGCACCCAGCTTCTACCATTGCCCCTTACAGGAGGCATTTTGTGTTGTTTACAAATTTAATTACATTTCATTTTTTTCCAGTTTTATTGAGGCATAATTGACCTGTATCACTGTATAAGTTTGAGGTGTACAGCGTAAAGGTTTGACTTACATATATTATGACCACAGTTTATTTTTAAACAGAAGCAGCCAGAGTGATCTTAAAACAGAGGTTGGAGCATGTCATTCATCAGCTTAGAACCTTCTAGTGGCCCCATCTCTCTGAGTTAAAGCTAAGATTGATAGTGCAAGGCTGTATGAAAGCTGGCATCCATGATCACCTCTTTCTGTTCTCAGGCATCCTAGTGTTGCCCTTGACTTTGGCTGCCTTTTCTGTGCTACCCACCAGCATTCCCAGCTGAACCTGTACCCGTGTCACACCTCTGTGGGGTCCCAGGTTCACTGTTTTCTCCTAGAAGAGGGTGTCATTCTAGCCCTCCCTACCCTATGCCAGAGGTGTTCTAGAAAGATCCAACTCGTAGCAAAGTGTGTACGATCGTTTGCAGGGAATGGAGAAGAGGCAGAAAGTCCAGTGTAGAAATTCAGGTCTGAGCTCTAAGTCCCATTCAAGGCAGTCTCAGTGGCACAAGATGGGGTGAGGAGCTGGATGAATAGCTGTTATTCACCAGTTCACCTGCCTGGTCTGCTGGAGACATTGGAAAGAAGAGGGAATTTCTCTCTTGTTCATCATTGTAGCCCCAGAGCCCAGCAAGGGACTTCAGTAGGTACTAGGCATTCAATAAATATTTATTATAGCAATGAAAGCAATCGAACCAGGTGACTGGGAGGTCAGAGGTGCAGTTGACAGAAATGGGGGCTCTCAGACTGGGTGGCTGGTTTGTCCAGAAGATGATCAACTCCATTTAGAAGAGTGAGGCTTGTTAAGGTGTGCAGGCATCCCATTAGAAGAACCAGTGGTTGCCTTTGGAGAGGCAGACTTTTTAAAACGTGCAGGTTGGGGATCTGGCTGTTTATAGAGCCAGCAACTGAAACGATTGATTTCAAATTTAGATAACAATGGAATACATTTTAAGAGCCCTTTTATAGAGTTTGTAAAACTGAGTTCAAACTTTTGAATACGTTTATCTTTTTCAAACTTGATGAAATGTTTAAGAGTAATTTGATTTTTAAAATTGCATGGTCGCTCAACCAAGGTGCTTGATTTCAGGAGTCAGACCAACTGAACAGCCCTTAGGAAGCCTAGTTAGCAAAGGCCCGCCAAGCAGCAGAGTCCAGAGGAAGTGAATTTTGATCAGGAGGCACTGATCTGGGCAGCATTAAATGTGGGACCTCAAGTCCTGGCTTGAGAGTCTGGATTTTAGCCTGTGACGGTGGGGAGCCACTGGATCCGATACTGGAGCAAAGAAGTAACTTGATGAACTCTATTTTCAGACGATTAATCAGTAGTGATGGTGGATTAGACAGAGGGGACACCAGGTTGGAAGCTACTGTGATCTTCTAGGGGGACAGGTGTTGCTAGTAGATGTTGGGAAAGGAAAGAAAGAAGATACTTCTAAGAAAGAGTCAAGCGATTTAGATTTTGGTTATAAAAAGACATAAGATGACTCAGGATTTCACACCTGAATGACAAAATGATTGGTCATACTTCTTTTTTTTTTTTTTTTTTTTGAAATGAGGAAGGCCTACTTCCTTCGGGGTATGTTAATACCTAAGTGACTTGGTGATCTTCCGGAGACCCCAGGCCTAATGGGAGATTTTCAGAAAGGATATTTTAGACAGGGGGATTTCCTGGCACCCCCTCAGTTTTAGGCCATCTACTTCCTTCTGTGTGTAAATTGGTATTTGGTTCCCTTCTTCCCTCAAAATCCCCTTCAAATTTCCACCATCGATGTTTTTTATAGTTCTTTCTCTTGTTAGTTGCATTGAAGATGTTGATGTTCATATAAGTAGAATTAACTACTCTATCCTTAAATGATCTGAAGTGGTATGACTTTTTATTAAAGTTAAGAGAAATACACAAATAACGTCAGATCTGTATAAGCAGTTCTCAATCTTACAGAGTAGTGTGCTGAATTCATTCATTGTAAATTGACTAAGTTGTCTTAAGGATGAAGTAAGTACATTTCCTGCCAGTTTCATGCTGCTTAAGGTAGAGATGTAACTAATACTTGTTACATCACTGTGGGAAGTCCCATGGGCAGTGAGAGAATAGGAGGATTCTAGACACAAAGATCTGAGTTGTAGAAGCTCTGAGCCAGATGCTGCAGGAAGGTTTGCATACTTTCCTGTGAGCGGGACAGGCTCTTCCAGATTGACTCTCTGGCAACCGTGCGGTAGTGAGACCCCCAGGAAGAGCTTTTGGATAGTTAAATGAGCTCCAAAAATACGGAAAATTATACTAGCTCTTCCACGTAGGCCCTTTCAAATTATGTTCATCCTCCACTAGACCTTTCCAGTCTTGTAGAGTATTACATTCCATTTGACAGATGAAAACGAGACAGATTTAGCAATGGGTCTCTCCATCTGTAGAACAAGAGGCCCGGGCTGGATGATTTCTTAATCTACCGCAAGAGCTGTGGGCCCAGGTTACACAGAGCAGAAGCCCACACCTCCCCACTCCTGGTTGTGTAACGCACGCTTGTGGGGGGCCTTGCCTTCTTGCCATGTGCTCTGCTGCAGCTGAAGTGACTGTGCCAGGCAGTGCGTGTTAATCCCTATGACAGTTATTACCCATATCGCCTCCTTTCATCCTCACCTCCACCGTGGAGGGGAGGCACTGTTTGTTGCCCTGTTGTACAGGAGAGGAAACCTAGCCACAGAGGGACTCAGTAACTTGGCCGAGGGCACGTGCCTCTTCCTGGTAACGCTGCGGTGTGAACCCAGGCAGTCAGGCTCCTGAGTCCAGGCTCCTGGCCACCTCACCCTTCCTTTTCAGAGGGGAGCCGATTGAAGAGTTTGCCTTTTATACAGTGGAGAGAATAATTTGAAACCGTCTCCCTGAATTTATCCATCTATCCACCCATCCCTCCCTCTGTCCAGCATACATTCTCCTTACTGAGGAGCCACCTGTGCGCCTTGTGTTGGGTCAGGCGCTGTGGGTAAGAGGTGAGGAGTATCTAGTCTTACCCTCCAAAGACGTACAGTCCGAGGGGTCTCATGAGGCAGCTCTGTTGAGTTCAGAAAGTGTTGAACGAAATGCTAGACGTTGGCCAACTAGATCACTAAACTAGAATCTGTGACAGAACACATGGAGCATCCACATCAGAATCATCTGGGGTGGTGGGGCCCAGGAATCTGTATTTTTAATACACACCCTTGGTGATTTCTCGTGCCCATTGATATTTGAGAAATGCTTCTGTGGAACATCTCCAAGGACCTAGAAAGCTCGGTTTCAGGCCCCTGAGAAACACCCAGCTTAGTTGCAGAGGCAGGCATAGGTACGGGCCGAATCTAGAACCATCAATTCCATTTCTCAAGTGCACAGAGAAACTCGGGGCTGCTGGGAGGTGCTTCCTGGGGCTGCTGTGGGTGTGTGGTAGGCAGGATGGACCTGAGGAGGCTTAGAGAGGAGGGTTCCGGGCTTGCTAACTTTGAGTCGAGAGGAGCAACTCCTTACTCTTTTGAAAGCTATTGGTCTGTTGCTTACAAGTTAATTTGGAGAGAGGTTTCCATTGCTTGCTTTCAGGCAACATGTAACAAGTTATGTGAACTAGATTAAACCTAACAGCTGAAGAAGTCCCAAGCAGAAGAGGAAGTCATGGGTGACTCAGGTCTCTAACCAGGTGTGTTACTTAACTGAGTGTGAAAGAAGTCTAGAGAAGATGGGGGGAAAGAGTTGAATGTTTTCAGTTTTTAGATTATTTTAGATTAATAATTAGATTATAAGCATTCCTTTGCCTTAGGAAATATTGTTTTAAATAGCAGCATAGTATTATAGCATCTCGATGAACGTTACTTTGCTTTAATTTGCTTTTTTGTAGATGTTCATAAAGCATTGAAATTTTATGACCCAAATGCTACCATGACCATTTTCTGGAGAGTCCCTAGATGTGTACATGTTTTCTCAAATGTCTTATGGTTAGTTGTTGACGCAAAGTAGAGATGCAAGAAAGGCATATGAGTGAACAAATGCACGAATGTCTAATGGGATAAACTAGCATTGTGGTTCTTAACCCATCCTTGCAGGTTCAGGCTGCTGTAGCCAATAGGGGGCACTTGCGAGAGAAAGACTGGGCCTGAGGCCTCTAGACTGACAGGTCTGTGACAGCTGCCATCCCCTACTCTGCCTATTAGCAGAACCCGCTCTCGGCATGGTTCTGTCGCATGCTTTGCAAACATTGTAAGTCAGAAGATATTTTTTGGAATTCAACATTTTTAGATTTCAGAAAGGTAGTATAAACTATTTCCTCTACATATGTTAAGAAGTAGCCCACTTAGTTTTGGGGGAACCACCTTATACTCAAGCACAAGAATATTTTCAGTACAACAGGATAATGAATATTTTAAGTAAGTGAGAAAAATATGGAGCATCTGGCTGGCTCAGTCAGTCGAGCACACAACTCTTGATCATGAGTTCAAGCCCCACGTTGGGTGTAGAGCTTACTTAAAAAATAAAGAAATAAAAATAAAAATGAGGTAAGTGAGAAAAATAAAAACTGTTAAATCCTCATGTCAACTCAGATGAGGATTTGGAGCTAAGTGACTTTGCTGCTATCCTGTGGAAACTCTTGGCTTTCTGAATCGAGGATAAGGGATTTGGTGCCTGCGTATATTCTGAACTTGAGCAGGTAGATCTGACCCAGAAGAAGAGAGAGTTCTCTCCCCTGGGTGCTCAAGGAGGTGGTCTGCTTGTCTTTTCCAGCTCGTAAGGAAGTTGGGAGCTCTTCATACCTTTGTAGACGATGAGCCTAAATGTCACTCTTTCCTGTACTAAATACTACATTTCTTTTATCCAGATCCCCTTCCATCTCCAACACTAAATTGCACCTCGACTGCTGAAGATATTACAGTCCGTTGCAGGATCCCGGAATCTTACAACCACACAGAATTTTTAAACTACTCATGGAATTGCTTTTCAGCACCGTGTGAAAATAGCTCCGATCCGTCTGAAGTGTTGATTAAGAAGAAAAATGATCTCTCACAGGAAATACAGTGTATTGTTAGCAACCCATTGTCCAAACAGACATCATCGCTTGCTTTAGCAACCTGTGTCCCAAACAGTGAGTAAACAGCCCAGTGTGTCATGGCGGGGATACTCTGTATAGGTGGGGTCCAGAGACCGTGGGTGGTTCGGGAGTTTCAAACCAGAGAGGCTGACTTGCATTTCACAAGTCTGAAATGTAAAATGAGGTATGGTTTTCACAGACACTGCATTACAGATATACACATAACATTTCTTAGCCTTTTGTGTGTCAAGCACCGTTCTCATACGTTTGTTAAGTAATTCAGTCTTCCCGCAACTGTATGAGTTGGGTACTAGTCACTACAATCTTTATATTATGGGGAGAAACCTGGACACAGGGAGTTTAGTGTGATTGACTGCCTCAGGTCAACAGATAGTGAGGGGCAGAGCCTGGTTTTGAAGTCAGGCCATCGGGCTCCAGAGCCCATGCCCCTAACTATTCACAACAGTACTTTGTAATGTTCTTAATAACCATTGTGTTCTTAAAGGCTGCACTTGTGCTCCAAGAACGTGCACTAGGTACATTTGTCTATAGGCTATTCCATGAATAGCCTGACAATCTGTCTTGGCTGTGGTCCTTTTATTTTGTTTAACTATCATGTACCTTTGTAATTTGCGACTTTTATTATCGGGTTTTTTTTTAGATTAGATTCCCAGTTTACAGACAAAAGGATCAGTAATCTGAAAGTGGGTCATTAGAACATAAAAGAAGAGATGAAAATTGTGAACACCTTAGTGTGCAGAACAATATCCTAGTTGTAAATAGTGAACCCATCTCAAGGGTAAACACAGACTCTTTGAGTCTCCTTGGGCAGCGATAGGGTGATGCTGTGAATCAGTTTTTTTCTGAACAAGCAACTGAAACAGAAAAAGGCAATTAGTCAATGTAATGAATATAAAAAACCTTGAATTATATTTGATTAGTGAGCCCTTCTCCCTGAGTCTCCGATGTACTGTCCTTTTTGAAAATTTTCTTTCCTGTCCCCTTTCTTTCATTTCTCCTCTCTCCTTTTTCCTCTTTGCTCTCTCCTCTCTCCTTTTCTTAGTAGGTTCCATGCCCAGGGTGGAGCCCAGCATGGGGTTTGAACTCACCACCCTGAGATCAAGACCTGAGCTGAGATCAAAGTCAGATGCTTAACCGACTGAGCCACCCGGTCACCCTGAAAATTGTCAGATAATGACATGGAGGCCTTAAGTTCATTTTATCATTTTCAGACTAAGCAGTATGACTTCTGGGTAAAACAAACGAATACTTCCAGATGAAGTGCAAAATGAGTTCCAGTTCTTAACTGATGGTTTTGGTCCCTAAAGGCAGAAAAAAGACCAAACGCACAGAGGTACCACTCAGGGCAGCACCCTTCGTGCAAGTCACACAATTATCCAGAAGATTTGAAAGCCAGCTGCAAAGTCAATGACAATTGTTACGCTTGGAGCAAACACTTCTTTATTAATTCCACTTAGTGGGTGTTGCATAACATCCAAGGTGTATACCATATTCAAGGTGTGGAAGTGCAGTTTGCATGCTAGCAGATAGTTGCCTTGTCATGGGAACAAGAAACAAAAGCAGTGTGCTTTTTGTGGCTTTGGCCTGTGTGTGATTCACATAACCAACAAGAGAAAGAAGGTATTGTGTGCAGAATGCACGAGCAAGTTGAAATCTTGAAAAGCTTCTTGTGCCCCAAGAGTCAAATGTTTGAAGGAAATAATTTCTGAAGAGAATCCTCTATAGATTTATATGGAATATTTTAAGAGATTTTCCAGCATTTTGCCCTTGCATAGGTTTTCATTTAACCTTTACCATTAGAATTGAGTGTCCAAATAAGATGCCCTTCCTGTAGATACCTTGAGAAAAGATTGTCTTGATCACATCCCTCTCATTGATGATAAGAGATTGTTAATTTGCAAACAAACTCTCTGTGTTATGCAATAATGGTGATTGATCTTTCTTTTACATTTCCCCCCCAAACTAATAGTTCACATTGCATTGTAGATTTTGAAAGTTTGAGAAACATTGCTAGGTAGTTCTTAGGTCATCTAAATCCTAGAGTGATGCTGGAGCAACTGGGTGGCTCAGTGGGTTAAGTGTCTTAACTTCATCTGAGGTCGTGATCCCGGGGTCCTGGGATCGAGCCCCACATCGGGCTCCCCACTCAGTGGGGAGCCTGCTTCTCCTTCTGCCTCTGCCCGCTGCTCCACCTACCTGTGCGTGCTCTGTCTGTCAGATAAATAAATAAAATCTTTAAAAATAAATGAATAAATCCCAGAGTCGTGCTGACATAGGAGACCTATATCTGGGGTCCTGCATCGGGCTCCCTGCTCAGCAGAAAGCCTGCTTCTCCCTCTCCCACTCCTCCTGCTTGTGTTCCCGCTCTTGCTGTGTCTTTCTGTCAAATAAATAAATAAAATCTTAAAAAAAAATTGTGCTCTCTGGAGTCAAACAGGGGTTCATATCTCTATTTGCCTCAAAGCAAGTGGGAAGAGAGAGGAGAGAGCACAGTCCTTCCCTTTAAAGATCCACCCAGTGTGGCATGCATCACTTCCAGTGCCAGCAACTTGGCCAGACTGAGTTCACGGCCACGGCCACTGGGGGAGGCTGGGAAATGTCCTCCTTAGCTGGCTGGCCATGCACCTACTTAAAACACAGGGGTTCTATTACCAAAGGAAAATGGGGAGATTGGGTATGGGGACCACTAGAGGCTTCTACCACAATGAATATAACTTGTACCATTTTATTTTATTTTTAAAGATTTATTTATTTATTTGAGAGAGAGAGCGAGAGGACATGTGCCAGTTGGGGGAGGGGCAGAGGGAGAAGGAGAGAGGACATCTCAAGCAGACTCCCTACTGAGTGCAGAGCCCAGTGCAGGGCTCCATCTCATGACCCATGAGATGATGACCTGAGCCAAAACCAAGAGTTGGATGCTTAATTGCCTGAGCCACCCAAGTGCCCCTAACTTGTACCATTTTAAAACATAGAGGAAATCGGAAAAACTTAAAGACTGATATAAGTAGCAAATGTAAGTAGAGCTTCTCGCTTTTTTGCACCTCACTGGTCATTTCGTGTACTCCCTGGGATTTATACACCCAATTTAGAAACTCTGGGTCTCAGCCAAAGGTTATGGTGTCTCGGAAGACCGTGATAGCAGCAGAGATTGGGAGAATTGGTTCAGGTTAGGGTACATGTTGAAAATACAGCCCCAAGAATTCCTGATGGTTTGAGTGGGGGAGAAGGGTCCCTAATAAGAAATGTGCAAATGACCCCCAGATTTCTGGCTCAAGCCACTGGATGAACAGTGTCACCATTTACTGAGACTAGAAAGCAGAGAAGCAGGTGTGTGGAGGATATAAGAAGTTTGGTTTGGGGCATGTTTGAGATGCCCGTTAGATTTCAAATGGAGATGTCAGGTAAGGCGCTTTGATTTACGAGTCTATGTCTCTGGTGAGTCGTTAGCGCGGGAGAAGTAAGTGTGGGCAGAATCAGCATATAGCCGGCAATGAAAGCCGTGGGACTAGGTGAGATCACCTAGTGAGCAGATACGACAGGGCCTGAGCCTCGGGAACGCCAGCATTTAGAGGCTGTTGATTGGATGAGCGTCCCGCGGAGGGGACTGAGAAGGGCCTCCAGGGAGGCAGGAGGAAAACTCCAGCACGGTGGCGTCTCAGGAGCCAGGGGAGGAGAAAAGGAGTAAACTGAAGAATTTGTATTACTGTCATTGTCATCTCCCCTGACTATCTGCCCTCCCAGAGTGGTGGCAGCATCTGGCATCATCCCTGGGACAAAGGTTTTTGGAAGGGACTGGATCAAGTACTGTTAGATTCAGCTATTTAAAAAACATTTTTTTTCTTTTTTTTTTTTAATATCAGTGGCGTAAAAATGTAGATGACTTCTTTCACGTTAACTATATATCTATATATCTCCCAGGTAGGCAGTGCTAGGTGTACTGCTGCTTGATGAAGTTGTCAGAGACCCAGCAGCAGCCCGGTTCCTCCCGCCTTCCCCACTATTTCAGGCAGGAGGATCCAGAAAAGGGAGACTTTGGAGAAACCCCACACAACCCTTCCTTCAGCTCAGTGCCCAACACTTAGTCACGTGGTCAAACCTAGCTGCAAGAGAGGCTGAGGAGTTAATCTTTGAGTGGGGTGACAGTATGCCCAGCTGAAAATCTGAGTTCTGTTACTAAAGAGGGGTGAATGGATAGGGGGCGTTACAGGGAGCTAACTAGCAGTTTCTGGCCAGGGGCTTCTCAGATCATACAGGTGGGTGACTTTCTGTTTGTCCTAACCCACCTGTGTTCCGAATAAGAGGAAAGGGTGTGTGTTCACATTCTCATTCTCATGTGTTCATTCACTTTCTCTCTCCCCTCCCCAGCCTCTCCCTTTTCTTTTAACCCTCGGTGTTTGCCGTTGGTGACCCCATCCTTCCCTTAGCAGTGCATTTTGATCATTTGCCATATGCTTAAGTATTCTGCCTTTGTATTTTTAGTAGCTGGATGGAGTCCACCTTATAAACATGTCTTACTTTTCCGTTGAGGACACGTGGGTTGTTTTAGCTTTTTTGATATTGTCAGGAAAGCTGCGGTAAATATCTTTGTGCCTTTTTTGGAGGGAGGGGAAGGGCTCGTCACTGATGGTTTCTGTAGGTTAACATCTTAGAAACGGACTTGTGGGGTCAAAGGATGTTAGTAGAGATACCAATGGCATCTCTGCAATAGCTTGATGGTGGTAGCTAATAGCTGTTCTCAAGGGGGTGTTAACTGATGCTCACAACTGCCCTGTGAGATGGGCATATTTATCAATCCCATTTACAGTTACCCCTTGAGGAAGCTGAGGCACCAAGAGGTTAAAGCACTCTCTGAGTGTTGTAATGGTTCAGTGAGACTGTGGGCGTATCACCCAGCACAGTGTCTGGCTGCTTTATGTCAGACGTTTGTACTGAGCACTTGTTACGCTACTGCCAAATTGCCCAACCAGACACACGCTGCTAAGTTCAGCTTCCACAGGTACTGTGGGCTAGCTGAGAACGACACTTCTAGTGTAATATTTGCATCTTTTAATAAATAACATTGGGCTTGCTATGTATCAACCTTGTGCGGGCAAGTTTATTTATAAATATAAATAAATAAATAAGTTTATTTATAAATATATAAATAAATAAATATTTATAAATATAAATAAATATATTTTTATATTTATAAATTTATAAAATTATAAATATAAATATATTTATAAATAAATTTATT